GAAGGAAGGAAGGAAGGAAGGAAGGAAGGAAGGAAGGAAGGAAGGAGGGACACTCCATCTGCTGAAGGAAAAGTCATCTCAAGAAGAAAATAAAGGGTGGGGTGGAGTGAGCACAGGAGACAGACTGTGTGACGGCACCCCCATGGGAGTGACCCCTGTGGCAACCTGACCCCAGTGCACCCTCGGGCACCCCTGGATTTCAGTACTGGAAGTGCCTTATTTAATCCAACCACAGCATCAGGGCATCTTAGACGTAAGCATTAAACTTGCTACCAGGAGAGTATTTATTGGAGCAAAGCTATAAAAACATTTCATCAAGAGGCTTTATCAAACTTTGCAAAAAGCAGGAGAACACTGGCAAGCTAGGCATTTGTGAGGAAAACTGCACGTTCGTTCCCTACGTTATTTCAGCTTTTCCTGGGCGGCTGTGCTATATGATTTTGTTGCCTTATTCAGTGCATTTTAGGGATCTTCCAGTGTTTCATCTCAGCTCTTTCATAATACCCTTCCCTACCCTGTGTTACTAAAACCATAGGCTTGACCATTGTAGTATGCTAGGATTTCGTTTTTAATCTGGCTTCGCAATTAGCACAAGTAGGTTGAATAGCAGAAGATAGGTTACTGGACAAGAAAAGAAATCTGTCACAGGACAGGTCTTGCATTTGCATGTATGTACATATATAGGCACATATTTATGTATAAATAAGAAATAGGTGGTCTGCGGTCTTCGCCCAGCAAGGGCTTCTGCGCCAGCAATAACCAGCATCAAACCTGGCTCTTCAGCTACTCCCACTGGGCCCGTCATCCCGACAGGCCTACGTTTTTCTCGTCTCGTGCAAATAACCGAGCACTTTAGGAGCCGGGGGAGGTGCGCTCAGAACACCCTGTGTTACCACATGGTGAAATTGGAAAGTGACTGTAAATAACATTATGAAGGGAGTGTAATATATTTGTTCGGCTATAAGATTATTATTTCACAGAAGCCTTACAACTCTGCTTCATGTAAGAAAACAATTACCAAAAACGTTTTAATACGCAGCGATTGTAGTAGGTTTCAGACTAGTTACTGTTAACAGATAGGGTAGTGTAAGCTTTACTACTGCATTTTGTACCGTTAACAGCTTCTTACACATTACTCCTAGCCACAATTTATTGTTTCACGTAACCAAAAAGAAAAAAAAAAGCATGGTTTAATTAAAACATGTTTAACCTGATACTTGTGCCTTAGGAAGTTATGCCCCCTCCTGGAACCTGCCTGAACTGCAGCTGCGAGTGCAGGCTGTAGGTCCTCATTGAACCTAACGCGACGGTGGAGACGCTCCCACCGAAAAAGTTATTTTTAAAACGTTCTTCTGTATGAGTATGTCTTACTTTTTTAACTCAACGAACATCTGAAAGCCACATTGGTCACACTTGCACATATCGGTGAGGAACTGAAGATGTGTGGCTACGTGTACATACACACGGTCCTGCTCCCCGCAGGCACCCCTCCTGCCTGTGACCCCAGAACCCGCCTCGCGTGTGGCATCGTAGACTTGCATGAAACACTTCTGGTGGATGTCATGTGGGAAGGGAATGTTTGGTGTTTGCGTCCGCTATCTCTGTAGTTAGGAAATAGACCCAATAAAGCAACACTTTCTCGCTGGACACTCCGGGCTGAGGGTGAGTCATTCCCAAGTGGAAAGTCTGCCTCGTCGGGAAGCATGTTCGCTGCTGCAGGGACTTGTACCTGTGAGAAGGGCTTTGTGTCGTGGAGATGCGCTGATACGATCTGATCGTTGCGCCTGGAGGTGCGTCTTGCCGACAGAGCTCCTCTCTCTTCCTTCTGTGTTTCAAGGGAGCCCTGTGGACGTGGGCGGACGTGGAGCCAGCTGCTGTGAGCATGGCATCCAGGCCGTGTGGGGGAGGGAGTGTTCGCTCCTGCCAAATATCTGTGCTCAGAGAAAAGCCTGGGTGAGGCCGTGGCCACACACAGACCCGCGTGCCATTTGACCATTGTTCCAGCAAGACGGTGTGTGCGTAGACTCGACCCCTTCCACTCGCTCCTGGAGCTCCCCCTCTCCCCACCCAAATCTCCCCGTCAGCTCTGGTGGGAAGCCAGCCTCTGTCGTTCATAAGTCAAGTGTGAAACCTAGAGCTTCCAGTAGTTATTGTTTTAAATGGTCAGAAACAATATTTGCTTCTAGGACATGTCTAACGCAAGCATGCCTGTCTCCTTTGCTAAGAGGGTTACAGATGGAGACCAGCCCTGGGGACCCTCATCCCCAAACGCAGCGCCCATCCCACTAGGTTTCCGCGCTGTGCTTGAAGGAAGCCACACGACCCACAGGGAGCTCATGGGAGTAAAGGGGACCCAGAGGAGAGTCTGGTGGCCACTCGGGGAGAAAGAGGACCCGGCTCTTCCGGAACAGGAAGTGCGCTTGAGACCAAGCAGTGTCCCAAGTCGGGGCCTGGCACAGACTTCGAATGCTGGGCCCATAGGGCATCCAAGAGCCCCCCGGTACAGAGGGAATTGGGGCCCCCACACGCCTCCTGAGAGCAGGCTGTCTGGGTCGGAGAATGAGGCTTGTCACTGAAGAAGACACTGGAATCTTAGTTCCAAAGTGAGTTTTTATAAACTGGTTTCCCCCTTATTGCCAACAAAACAATTTTATATTCCAGAAATAAAAATATAAATCTATGAAATGATGGCAGTTTCTCCTAGGTTGGTTTTGAGTAATAAGGAAATACATCGAGACGCTCATTTCCAGCAGCAAGCTGATAGGTTTTGTCCTCACGCTTGTAGACCAAACGAAGACTGTGTTTTCTGGGAAGCTGTGACAGATGTCAGCTTAGCCACAGCTGGCCCACCGTCTGGAGCGTTGGGTCACTTGCCTCTCGTGGTCCTCGGTGATGGAGACCATGTGGGAACCTGAACACAGGCACCTCCCCCAGAGCCTGGAGCCACGTGCCCAGGAAGCTGGTGATGCTCACCCTGCTTCACCCTCACACCCCTTGGCCCCATAACTCCAGCTCTTCCTGAGTCTGAGAGTATGGGGCATGAAAAACATCCTGACAAACATCAAATTTCTTTTGTCACCAAATGCAGCCTAAGCAAACATCTGGGCGTTTGAGCACCCTCTCCGTCTCAAGGGTGTCTCATCATCTGAACAGTCGAAGTCCCCAGCTAGTTGGACAACTTGCCACAGCGCCCACCCCCACTTCAGGGAGGGACCCTATCAAAACCAGCTGCTTCTGCTAATCCTGTGACAGTGCCTTCTGTGTCCCAACCAGCGAAGTCACAAGGAGAGTGTGCAACTCTAATTAAATATTTCTTTAGAAACGTGTTCCGTTTGGTTGGTGTGTTTGGAGAGAAGACAGCAGGAAGAAAGACAGGAGAGGCTGAAGCTGAGATGGGGGGCCTCTGTGTGGGAGGGGTCCTTGCTCAGTGGTTGTTGTTGTTGTTTTAATTAAGGTAAAGCCCTGGCTGGTGTTCTCAGTGGCTAGAGCGTCAGCCTGTGCACCAAAGGGTCATGGTTCCATTTCAGGACAATGGCGCTGACCCAGGTGGCAGGTTCCATCTCCAGCACCAGTGGGGGCACATCTTGGAGGCAACCAATTGATGTGTCTCTCTCACGTTGATGTTCCTCTCTGTCCCTCCCCCACCCCTTCCCACTCTCTCTGAAAATCAATGGGAAAAATATTCTCAGGTGAGGATAAACAACAACAAAAATTGAGGTAAAATTCACATAAAATGAAATTAACCATTTAAAAGTGGAATTTAGTGCATTCACAATGTTGTATAACCTCCAACTCTACCTAGTTCCAAAATATTTCCATCCCCCAGAAGGAACCCCTGTACCTCTCACTCCTCAGGGCCCTGGGAACCACTGTTAACTGTGTTTCTGTGGATTTGTGCATTCGGGGTGCTTTGTGTTCGTGGAATCATACAACGTGCAGCCTTTGCGACCGGCTCCTTTCACTGATCCTCGTGGTTCAGAGTTCATTCCCATCACAACATTTATCAGAGCTTCATGCCTTCTTGTGGCCGAATGCCCTTCCACTGTATGTTAACCCACAGTTTGTCTATTCATCATCCAGGGACATTGTGGGGTGTCCCCTGTTTGGCTGGTGTGAGCAGTGCTGCTGTGAGCATTCGTTATAAATCTTTATTCGAGTTCCTGTGTGCAATTCTTTGGGTACATCCCGGGGCAGGGGTTGCTGGGGAATACGGTAATTGTGTGTGTTACTTTTTGAAGAATTGTTTTTCCTTGCTAGGTGCTTAAATTATGCATCCCTAAGACAGACACTGGATCGCTAACCTAATTTGGAATCACATATGTGAAGCGCATCATATTTATAATTCTTTATGCCAAAATAATTAACTTAGCTATCAGATGACTAAATGCTCCTTTGCACCCAAGCAGAAAGCAGCCCTCGCTCACGCCTGCTCTGCCCCTGCTGGGCCCCGCCTGCCCTGGGCTCTGCCAGGACGTGGGGCCTCGGCTCACAACGTCTGACTCATTCAGCTGGTGCCAACGGAGCCCAAGTTACATAGTTTTATTTTATTTGCACAGACAAATTAAAATAGCAGAGCAAAGAGCCCCGGCAAAGACCGTCCCTGCTGTGAGAAGTGGGCTCAGCGAGACGTTAGGTGACGGAGCCACCACGGCAGGGCTCGAACCGCCTCCGCTCAGGGTGCAGCTCGGCCCCGACATTTCTGCACAGAAAGCCGAAAAGCCGCGCTGTGGGATCTTCAGACAGTGGTCCTTTCCCACTTGACCGTTCTGTCTGTGACCAAATGTCTCAGCTTCCACACAGCCCGAACGCGGCTGCAGCTTCCTGTATAGAGTGGAACCGTCTGAGCACTGCTGGCCCCGGTAGCCACTCCTCTTCTTTCCAAAAAGGAGGAGAAAAAGTACTA